ACATATATCTAGTAAATGCTAGGGCATTCACGAAGGAACAAGATACTTCTAGGAAATATGTGGCGTGACAATAGTCACGTGACCTCGCTGACGCAACAATATAATCACTCGACTTCTAAATCTATCAAGACATTCTGGTATTAAAATTTGTATGCAGTTTGATCCTACTTTAAAAGTACTGCTTTTTTCCATGTTGTATTTTGAATTTTACATGCCTGTTTATGTCGATATCCAAATCCACCATTATGAAGCAGTATTAAATCCATATGATAAAAGTTTCTATTTTTAAAGTGAGGAATGATTATGACCATAAAACCAAAATTAATCTGTAGATACGAAAATTATTTACTTTTACTACTCACTGTGAAAATTGTATTTTTCATAATGACTTAGATACAAAGTACCAAGCATTGTAAGTACATAACAATAATCCAAGTAATAATGTTAAATTCATTTGTTTTGTTAGCTGCTGTTTTGCAGATGTAATCAATTTCAAAATTTATAAAAATGCAAGTTTTAACTGATCATTGTTTGAATTCTATTACAAAAAGGGTATCAACACATTTCATTGAAATTTTTTTAAAATTTATATTTCTATGGTTCATTAAATTTCTTATTTTCATGGTGATACATTTTTTTATTTTATTGGCTTGGTATTGAAGTGAAAACCTCTTGCATTACACACAAGTGCTCTACTAACTGAATTAAATGTTTAAACCACTAGATGTCACTAGTAAGCACTTTTTTAAGAAATCAAAAGGCTGCTTTGTGAACATGAAATGGTTTATTTAATGAGATATATTCAGTTTTTATGGTGAGACTGAGTACTTGAATGGAATGATTGGTGACCTCAATGGATTATATCATTTCATCTGTCATTTCAAGTAAAGAGAAATTAGACTTTGACCATGATGTTGTTAAACAAAACTGTTTATTGTTATTACATGTTTGATGTATAGTGCTAAAAACTGAGTTTCAATACTTGTGTTGTGCACAACACAGATAGTCCAATGTGTAGCTTTGTGCTTAACTACAAAACAAGCAAACAAGACATGTTCAGTATAAAAGTAAATTATAAATAATATCAAATTATAATTTGTTAGACCAATGGCAATGCAGAGATGGGTTGGTCGTGTAGCTGTTGTTACAGGTGCTTCTGCCGGAATTGGTGCGGAAATTTGTCGAGAATTAGTAAAGCATGGAATGATAGTTGTTGGGTGTGCTCGTGATGTTGACAGAATTCGAGCGATTTGTGAAGAGGAAAATGTTAAGTCTGCTGTAGGTTCTCTTAAGCCTGTCAAGTAAGGTTCATTAATACTATAATAATACGGAGTTTTGAATAAAGAAAAGAGACGTAAAGTCCATAGTTTTTAATGTAGAGTGATAAAATTTTAAGTAATAACAATAAAGGATTTACTTTGAAAATTTGTTCATCAAAACAAAAAATATTTAATATTCACCACACTTCACAAACTTTATACCGTGTACTCTTTCGCAGGTTCTTTTCTTAATTATTATCATAAGTTTTTAGTAGTTAGGCTAAGGGAAGATTGTCAGAAAAGAAGAAAAAACTAGGACAGAAAAATTAACACAATTGATTTTGAAGAGTGATTATTTAATTTTTTCCCTGCTGATTTCACCTCTCTCTCTCTCTTTTTTTTTTAAACCAAACTCAAACTTGTTCAATTTCTATTTATCACAGCAGTTATCATTATTATTATTAATTGATAAAGTTACAGCCATGAAGGATAAGTAAACATAAAATAAAAATTATTTACACATTTGTTAAACCAAAATCTGAGAAATTATTGAGTATGTAATTACACATTTTTTATTCAAATATTCATCAGCAGGAATATTTGATCTGTCAGAACTATTTAAATCCCTCTTGTCCCTGATACTAATTTGCATAAACCTGTCATGCGTTCTAGCTAATAAATATAATTTTTGTAGCACCCTGAAACTCTTGCTCAAAGTCAAGATTCAACTTTCCTGATAAATGCCCCTCATAGCACAACGGTAAATCTGTGGACTTGTAATGCTAGAAATCAGGTTTTGATACCCATGGTGGGCACAGCACAGATAGCCCATTGTGTAGCTTTATACTTAACTACAAACAATCAAGATAAACAATATTAACAATGTTGATTTTTAACCAACAAAGTAGATATATTATAAAAGCTAGAAGTTGTATCAAATAAAACAACAAAACTCTTTGAAAGTCATGCAGAGTGTTTCTGTTCTTAAGTGTAAGAACTCTCAGTTGATTGTAGTACAAGCTCTTTATAGTTTGTAGTCAGTGGCATGCAGAGATTCTATAATGCCTGGGGCCTTGTACCTAAAACCTTGGGGAAGGGCGGAAAGGGTTCTATTAATTGATTCGACTCTTTGCATTGGATGCCCGGTACCTTTTGCCCCCCCCCCCCTGCACACTACTGTTTGTAGTGCAGAATAATAGTTTAATTCAAGTTTGTCACACATTGTTTTGATTAATTCTAATGTTATGAAATGTATTCATACTATACAAAAAGGGTTTAGCTTTTTTAGTTCAAGAACAATTAAGAAAAAGTCACATGTATTAGAAATTTTCCACCTGATATTAAACAGTACATGTCATCTATAGACTACACATTCCCTTACAGAACACAAATGTATTTTCAACATCTCGTATCATAGTAAAGAATTGTCTTTTATATCTTTAATGAGATAGTTCTACTTCTAAGTTGATGTACGTAGACATTCATTTGATCATTTTACCACTTTTATGTATTTTACAAAATATCATTGTTAGATTTGACTATTTACCTAAAACACATATTTTGTAAACTTATAGTATGGTTTATATGTGAGTAATTAAAATTTTTTTAGTGCTACTCATGCATTTATTTTCAAATTATTAAAAAAGATTTTTTAGACATTTTTTGCATTATCTATATCAGCATTTTGTTTTTTATCAGATGTGACCTGACAAAAGAAAATGAAATCCTGAGTATGTTTGAAGACATCAGAAAAACTTATGGTTGTGTTCACTTGTGCATCAACAATGCAGGATTTTCTGAAATTAATACTACCTTACTTGAAGGTGATACAGACTCCTGGAGACGAATGTTAGAGGTAAAACTTGAAAAGTGAAAGAAATTGAAAAGATACTGTAATTTTCATATGTGTATGTGTGTATATACATAGTGATAAATGTAACAATCACATTTTCACAAATGCAGTTTGATATTAAATTTATACTTTTTGTGAATGTAAATTTATGCACATCAGTGTCTTAACTTGTTTTTTTACAAGGAAATGGGATTTTAAAGACTAAGAAATTTATATTTGAATATCTTGTATTTATACGCACATATACAATGTGTATATATATCTTTGTATGTATTACATTTGCCATTTACAGAGTAAAATAACTGGGTCTTGAGTGTATCAGTTATATTTATACAGGCAACATAAAATTGTACTGTGTCTACAGAGGCTATGGATTATTTGTTTTTGTGGAATTAATACTGTTACATTCATAAAAAAAATCCGACATTTTGTTCTGTCTGCTTTTCATGGGAGTGTTGGTAATGTCCATAAATGTAACTTCTTATTGATCATACAAGGCTCTGCTAGAAATTATCTGTTCTTTTCATTGTTACATACTTTAAAATATTAGTTATGTTAATGAAGGAAACTTGATGTATTTCCTTTTTATACACAAACATGATGATTGAAGTGTTTGTTATAGTTCTTATGTCTGTGGTATAGTGATGTGTGTCAGTTACAGTTCTAATAGAAAATTGGTAGTTTTTTATGTTCATAAAATTGATTGATATTTGTCCTATTTTTAAGGGTGGTGTGTGTGAATGTCTGTTATTAGTTTACTTGGGAATTTGTTTTATATCCAAAGAGACAATTTTGTTCTGTTAATACAAAAAGCTTATGAGTTTACTTTATGTGGAAAATTTTGTTACTTGTCATTGTTAATAAAATGATTTAGTATTTTTAGGAAATAATTTATGCAGGTTCTTATTCTCATTTTCTAAATGCTAATTTTGTGAATGAATTGCTATTTAGGGGGGAAAAAATGCCTCAGAATTATTTAGGGTATTTGAAGGTGAGCTTAATTTGGTAATTATTATTCACATTTAAGACAAAATGTCATTTACATGGAGAATACACAACATGTACTGTTCAGATCAAGAGAGTTGCTATCTAATTCCTTGTGCAGTATCCTCGTGTTTTTAATCTTACCAAAAGATATTTCCACTGACATCTTCATTATTTGATGAATACTTTTACAAAGATCGGGTGTAAGTAGCATAGTAATTCACTATATTACAAAGTAATAAGATTATGAATATTTGTAGTTTGATGTTAAGAAAATACCTGTATTAACTGTTTGTTTTCACTCTGCATATATTTGTAACAATTTTTCTGACAGTTTTGACGAATCAATTGTGCCATAAAAAGTTGCACTGTTTTGATGGTGTCTTCTAAACCTTCGTAGCAAAAGATTAAAAAAAGTTTGAAACTGCTTATGTAGTTATTTAAAATGTTCTCCATGAAGATAATTTAGGGGCATAAAACATTAAAAAGTTCGTAGGAATTTATAATAGTGATTGACACTTAATATAAGATGTTACTGAGGCAACTTTGTGTCACATTTTAGTTTTTATAAGCTAGGCCTAGAAGTCAGTTTTGGGAATTTTGCAGTGATGTTTCTCCTGGTGTACGGATTGACTGGTACACACTTTACAGAATTTCAATGTAATTTAGCAAGAAACAATGGCAGTCTTTGTTGTTATAGTTTATGTAGCTTTTTATTTTTTTGTATGAAATAAAAACATGAGCTATAAAATGTGCTTTGAAGATTGTTAAAACTACATACAGTACAACTATTGGAGACAACAGAATAACTAGTGACATTCCATGTGTGTACAGTTTGCAGAGTACAGATACAAGTTTTAACTCTTTTTTTATATTTTAAATGTAATAGTTTGTATAACACTTTCTGTTAATATTCTGAAATATAATTGACTTGAAAAAATGGTAAGTACATTAAAAGTCAGAACCAAATACACATTTATTTATTTTTATTGTAATAGGCTGAGTAAATACAAAAAAAGATACTCTTAATGTTAAACTAACTGTTATGTTTGGATGATAACATTATTTCAGAAGTATCCAACATATCTTTCTCCAATTCATCATTACATATCCTTTCTAGGTGAATGTGATGGGTCTATGTATCTGTACAAGAGAGAGCATTAAGCTTATGAGAGAAAATAGCATCAACGATGGTCAGATCATTCACATTAGTAGGTAAGAAAACAAGATTGTTGCTTTAATTTTGTACTTGTTTTAAAGCAATTTATAACTTAAACATCATGCATTTTGTAATGTGTTCTATAAATATCATGCATGTTTTGCTGGTTTAGTTTAGTTATTTTTATCTAAAAGAATTATTTATTATATGGACTAAAACTTTGAATAATTTTGCATGCTATATGTTTTTGCAAAAATAAAAAATCATTAATAACAGTCGACAACAAAGAAAATAGACGTTGAATGATACTATTACACTTTTACTGCTTATGCTATCCTTAATTCGGCCTATTTTTATATTGACAGCATGTCTGCACATCGGGTTCGTCCGGGAGGGCTTAGTTTTTATTCTGGAACTAAATTTATGGTTAAAGCTTTAGCAGAAGGATTTCGAAATGAGTTACGAGCCAGTAACAGTGGAATACGTGTGGCTGTAAGTATAGTTTTTATAGCTATGTCATATAAGTTATCTATTTTTATATATATAATATTTGTAATTTCTTCAGTTTAGATATTCAGGATAGCAGAATCTTTGATATTTTTAGCTTTTGTTGATTAAGTAGAAGGATTTGAAAGAAAAAAATATCTCAAACTTTATAATCATGCGTACCCTGTGGACAAATGTGTGTAAAAGTCATATCTGCATTTTAAATATTACATTAGTAGGCACAGGGTAGCATCATCTTGCAGGTTAGATATTTTTATAATTTTTTTTTACAATTAGTTAGAATAATTTTTATTTTATTAAACAGTGCATCAGTCCAGGCATGGTTGACACTGAATTTCACAAACGTTTGTTCAAAGACAATCCTGAAGAAGCAAGACGCAGAGTTTCTCAGTTTACTTTTTTGAAAGCAGAAGACATTGCTCGAGCAGTTCTCAATATCCTTGAGATGGAGCCACATATAGATATAAATGACATTATAATTCGTCCTACAGAACAACCTTTTTAACTTTTATTATAATAAAATGATTAACTTTTCCAATTTTTTTAATATTAAGTATTAAATGAAGGATACTTCTTGTTTAAATACAGTATGTCAATATGTTTTGTAACTCTTTTGCACTTAACATTAATATATGCACTCAGCAGTGATATATTTTTATTAAAAGATATTGTTACGTCTCCGTTTGTTAATTAATTTTCCGTAACTTCGTTCCGACGAAACTTTAGCGACACAAGTCCTTTCTTAATAAAACTGGTTTATTCTTTCTGAATATAACTTTACGATACACTTAATTTCAACATTCGCGCTAAAACAAACTGTAATTCACGTCTCACGAGCTTGACTTCAACAATACGTCTCTCTCTCTGACTGCAGATCAGTTACTCA